CCAGGTACACCCACACCGAAGATAACCAACCCCTGTAGCACACTTACAGTTCATCCACATGGAGTGCACAAAAAAAAAAAAAAAAAAAAAAAAAAAAAATAAAAACAAACCGGATAAAAAAAAAAAAAAAAAAAAAAAAAAAAAAAAAAAAAAAAAAAAATTTGCATTGCAGGTTACCTATTGACTGGTGAGAGAAAGAATGGAAGTTGTACTGTCAAGCTGGGAATCATCCCCAGCTTCCCCTCCTACAACTTTTGCCTCAGGGGCACATTGAAATTCTTTGCCGAACTGGGGGGGAAAAAATGTCCCCTGCCGTGCAAGGGGGCCACTGTGGTGACCGAGGAGGTGCCCAAAATAGCGAAATTTACCCAGACGTTTCCACTTTGCCTGAGACGTGCCCAAGGATTCTGCATCTGCAGAATGCAGGCACCCAGGTGCTTTTGCAAGTGGCCAATAGATTCCATGCAGATGCAGAATGCCCGTGTAGATTTCAAAAGCGTAAGGTTCGTTGACGACCACTTCAGGGAGGAGAGAGTGTGGTGCCACTACGCTGAGGTGGGATGAATGTTGCGACTACCATTGAATGCCTCGCCATGTTTGCTTGGGGTGGTAAAGACATCCGACTGTTATGGGCAAGTTCCAGCGGTTGGATGCGGCGCATAGTCACAGACAGATCCAACGCAAAGTATCGAAGGCAATCGGGAAGAGTTCAAAAGTCTGGGTTTATTGAACTTTATTTTCTTAATTTTCTCTTTAGAAAATGTGTGCGTGTGTGTGGGAACGGGGGAGGGAAGGGGGTGGACCTAGAAAAGAGGTCTATGTTTTGTTGATCACAGAACAGATCTGTACGGACCACATACTGATGTCTAGGTCAGTCCGCTGACCGGGTCCGGCGTGATAACCTGATTTATTTATTTTTTTTTCCCTTAACTGCACTGAGAAATGTGTGCTGACTGTGCTTGGCATTGTCCCCAGGTGATCATTTGCTGTGCTCGCTAAAAATTAGTAAAATCTATGATGAATGTGCAGATAGGGAATCGGCAGCTGATGTGGGACAATAAAATTGAGGTCTGTCAGGTGGCACAGACATTCTTGCGGGAAGTGGAGAATTCGGCAAGCACCGGAATTCTTGTTGCTGCGGATAAGCAACTCGTCGGTGCTATTGGGATCTCAGATCCTCTGAAGCCAGAGGCCGTCGAGGTGATATGGGAGTTACAACGAATGGGAATCCATTGCATGATGGTGACGGGAGATAATCGGCAGACAGCAGAATGTATCGCAAAGGCGGTAAGTGACTGTTGTTGTTGGATCGGAGAAGCTGTGGCCGTCTTATTGCGTCTGGTGGTAGATCAGCACAATGTTGTGGGACATTTTTGCACCTGCGTTCTACGTCTCTTTTTCTTTTTTCCGATTTTTCTCCCCTTTTCCGAGTGTTTGAAGAAACGCAATAAGAAACCTCCTTTGGGATGTCTGTCAAAATTGAAATGATAGCTGTGATACACGGAGGATTTTTTTTTTGCATTGCCCCTGTGCAAGGGCGACATGCACAAGTCGAGAATAGAACCCGAATGGGGAGCCCTTTTTTAACTTAACTCTTGGCTATGACGGTATGACCCCTTCTTGACCCCTTTCCTTTTTGGAAATTGGCAGTCTGGGGCTTCTTCGTTTATACTGGCAATGCATCAGTGGCAACATATCCACGCTTGGTACGAGTAAAGCCGACCTCTTTTCCCTATAGGGTATTGCAAACTTTGGGCGAGGGGGTGGGTGAGTGCTTATTCATCAGTCGAATGCATCCTGGGTAGACGGTCGCGGTTCAACCACCTGATGTGTTGCGGAACGTCCTTCGCAACAGTCTGTCACAGCTACCGCTTGTGGAGTTCAGCAAATATAGAGTGGGTTGGTTTTCTTTTTTTTTTTTGGGGTTGCGGGACGATGAAAAGGGAGGCGTAGCTACTGGCAAAATGCTCGGTCTTTGCGTTAGCCGGACCCCCACCGGCGGCCCCACCCCGTCCTTGACCACCATGGTTGGGGCGGGGGGCAACATGCATCCCCTCTGATGGCTGGAGGGAGACAACAAAGCTATGTTTGCAGGGGTCCCCTGTTTAAGCCTTAGGGGTAGTGGTAGGTAGGTAGTGAAGGTGAATTTGAAAGAATTTGAAAGATGATGAAAGACTTGAGAGAAGAATATAGCGTAGTTAAAAAAAA